CCACGCCATCACCCCGCAGGAATCTCGTGGATTCCGGGGCAGCCAAATTCCCAATCATGAGCACTGGTTCCTGTAGCACATGCTGCCAAAAGTCGCAAGCTGGGTTTTAAGGCGGCAAAGAGTGTACCGCCTTTTCCGGGAAGTTGGAATCCCGAAATCAACCCCTGTCAAAACAATCTGCTCGACTGTGTACAGCATTCCAATCATCCGTTCCATAAAGTCTTCAGGAAAAGGAAGGACATTCTCATGCACGAAGAGCAATGGTCGAAATTCAAGAACACACCTGATCCTTGGTTGGTGAGGGGCGTTATATAAGTATTAATAGAATGAACCAAATTTCAATCACTGCAGTCCAGACTCAAAACCATCAGGAACACGAATGTTTTGCCGCTTTCTCGCTGCTTCTGACCGAAGAAGCTGTAATCCTGAGAACACTGAATTCCACCTGTATCCCCCTGCTGCACTGTTGTTTTTCAATGTTTATACGTGCATTTGTTTTGGCACCCACAGCAGGAATGCAATATTGCTTCACAGCGGCGGTGCATGGAGAACCTGCTACTTGCAAACACCTTTGTTCTGGGTCTGGCATTCTCCGGCAAGACTTCTTGTGCACCTCACACCTGAAAATTGAAAAAACACACCCAACATCCTGGGTCAAGTGAGCATTCAGCAAAGAAGAAACATGCAATTTGCAAAAGAATCTTCAGACAAGGCGCTGGTCATGTGGACTTACAAGCAGGTCCTCGCTCAATGCGAGCTCAACCACCTCTGTGTGTTGTAGCCTGGCCGAACAGATAATATAGGAATAACTCTTGCATAGCTTTGTAAGTTTAGCATAAGTTCAGCATAAGTTCAGCATATGTATGCAACTTATGCTGAACCCAGAGGAGAGTTCAGCATATATGCTGAACTTGCTAGACTAAGCTAAGAAAGAGTTCAGCATAGTATGCAGAACTAGGAAAACCTATGCTGAACTACTTGCATAACCTTTGGGGCCCTATGCTGAACTTATGCTGAACTTATGCTGAACTTACGCAGAGATTATGTATAGTTATGCAAATGAAGTTGAGATGTGGTGTTAGTTTACTTCTGGCACAACTGCTAGAGTAAGTCGCCAAGATAAGATCAAATGACTGCCATATACTTGACCGCCTTGACTAGAAGCAAGAGTGAAGCAAAGGGCAAGCGTGCAAAGGGAGGAGGATGAAATAGACACAAGAACCCGAGCTTGATGGTATCATTAAGACAAGCCTATCAGTGTGATCAGCGGTGAGACCCTATCCTGTGTACCCTGCCTGCGGTTGAAGGAAAACTCCATGGAGCAGTTGTGATCTGCACACACGAGCTCAACAAGCCTGTGAATTGCATCCTGAAACTGATCCTCACACAGCTCATCAGTTTCATTGGACCGGCAATTGCACACTTTGCACACCGCCCTATCAAGCTGCCATCCACTTTGAGCATCTCCAATGGATGTCTTCAAACAACCTTTGGGAAACAACCCCAACACCTTGGTGCGAACCCACTCCAAATCCACGAAGCTCTCATCGTTAGGGTTGTAAATGCTTGTTTCTTCAGATGCAGGAAAGCCGTCGTCCATCGATTCATTTCCAGGGTTGGAGACTTTGGAAGCAGAGATTGGGGAGACATCCATGGATGATTTGCGAGCAAAGGACGAGGATTCTGTATCTGAAGAATCTGAGGTTGTGGATCCTGACGCATCTGAGGCTTTAGCGCCTGAATCTGAACTCCGCACGCGACATCTTCTCAGGTTCAACACGCCATGCAGCTCATATTGTGACAGAGTCACATTTTGTTGGACTGGTGTGAAGAACTTCTCCCTATCAACCGCACGCACTACATCCATAATATCTCCAAACTTGCAAACCTCAGGATCATTGAGCAGAAGCGCTCTCTTCTTGGCACAGTCCCAGTCGGACTGCGCAGCCACGTGGATTGTACCAATTCCTGCGGCTGACAATGCTCGGGCGGCTACCTCTG